TTTCCCCCCTCCCCCATATGCTCCGGAGGAAGTGGGGGGTCTAGCGCCTAGCCCGAAGGCATGTAACGCATCAGTTGGAAGCGTCACCTTCGGGGGGGTGCAGAATCCCGCGTCCGCAGGGAAGGAGACGGGGGCCTAACGACTCGGCGACGGCAGCTAAGGGCAAGGTGAATCGGTTGGCCCCCCTCTCCCAGGGACCTCTGAAGAATCCCGACGGGGTCTCTCTTTGACAAACCTCGCAGGAACCCAATAGTTCTCAAGAACCCCTGAGGGTTCCACAACGGATCAATGAAGAATCGCTGAGGAATCTTGAAGAAATCTTTCAGGAATCTCTGGGGAATCCTGAAATTGCTTCCAAAGCGGTTGGGGGTGGTATATGGTTGGCTGGAAATGGCGTGGACATGGTTGGAATCCGTCCCAACGTGGTTGCAGTTCGTCACACACACACAGCAGGAGACCCGGATGGGCACAACAATTGAATAACATCAATGACGGTTGCCTTCTCGCCGAGGCCACCCCGGACGCTACAATGGGTCGCGGTGCGCTCCTTCCAGGCCCTGGTAGGGGGTAGGGGCAGGGGTACACCCTTCCCCGAAGGGGAAGAGGTGGGCTGGAAGAGGAAATTCGCTAAACCAGTCACGCTCTAAAAGGAGTGGCAGCGTTCTCTTCCATTGCGGCAAGCGCATCCTTTTGACAGGCGAGCGCCCCGTGGGCTTGAGACCCCGTTCTACATTGCATCCACGTCCCGTCTTTCTGGCCATAAGGAGTGCAAAGAGGTAGGGCAATAAAGTTCAAGGCAGCGTCCAGCGAGAGATCCGTTTTGAAAAGTTTACGCCCCCAATCCGAGTTAGCGGTGCATCTGTTTCAGGGTCCGTGCCACAGAAATCGAAGTATGAAGCGACGCTTTTGTTTAGAAATAATTGCATTTCCTCCGCGTAAGTGTTGCAGCTCTCTGAGTTCATGCGCATGGGTTTCGAGGGAGCTTCAAGCGTGAACCCCAGGTTGAGACAGAGCCGCCATCCGTCGGTGCAACGTATGGACATGGTGAAGACGAGCGCGCGCGGCGCATGGCGAGTGCCATCGCTCGGAACCCACGTGCGCTCCATCCGCGTAATTGCTGGACTTGTTTAAGACTAGTACGCGCGGCGCCAAGGCGTCAGTCATAGTTTGAGAACCACCTCCACCGCCCCCGCACTTTAGAAATTCTGCAGACGAGTGTGCGCGGCGCCAATCGATAGCTCAGCGTTGGAAACAATGTGTGCGCCGTCCGTGTAACTGCTGGGAGTGTCCAATGCTGGAGTCGCACATTGCGAGGAAGTCTCAAGCGAAAAGAATGGCCCGCCCTTACTTTGGTGCGACAGGCATTGACAATCTACGAGGATGAGGGATGGGGGAAGATTTGGGGAAACGAGAAGGGAGGAATGAGAAGAGAGGAGAGAAGAAGACGAAGGAGAAGGGATCAGGAAAGAGGAGAGAGGAGGAAAGGGAGGGGAGGAGGAGGAGGAGGAGGAGGAGGAGGAGGTGGTGGAGGAGGAGGAGAACGACGACGACAAGGAGGAAGCCAGGAGGGAGGAAGGAAGGGGTATGAAGAGAGGGAAGCGGGCAAGCTATGTGCCCTCGCGCCGCATCTGACATCCGATCCCACCCTCCCACCCCATCCCATTGCATTATTTGTTCGATCCGCGGACGCGTCGCATAGCCGCCCTGTAGCTCTAACAATAAGACCACCGCGCAGTACGCGCAATCGGAAAAGGAGAGTTGCGTGCACAGGAGGAGGAGGTGGCGGGTGAGCAGGAGGATGAGCGGGAGGAAAAGAACGAGGACGAACAGCACCAGCAGGAATTGGAGTGGAAGGAGCGGGAGGAAACCGAGGACCAGGGGAAGGCGGAGGACGGGAAACGAGGGGGGGCCACAACGATGAAGAAAGATTCGGATTCAGAACATTTGCCCGCGTTGGCGCGAGAGCGCCATTCTGAACGACGGGAAGCGACGGGAGCAAGGAGGTGATCCGAAATGACGCCCACGCTGCAGCGGGAGCATCATTTTGAAGCACCGAAAACTATATGAAAACAGATTTTTGGAATCTTGTGAGTAAAAAGCATGACGCGGAGAGTGCCGAATATCTCCCGGACAGAGTCATGGGAGAGAGAACAAGGCAGAATCAATTGTTTAGTGGCAGAGGTGGAGTAGGAACGTTTCACTCTCTAGCCACATTGGCAAGTCAGCAATGGATAGTGGTCGCGCTTAGGGATCTCCCGGCAAAGAGTGCCTCGACTTCGAAGGTTGCAGGTCTGCATCAATTGTGGATTGCATGCGGCAGGTATGGTGGCGTACGGGGTGGAAGGGTTGGACTTGGTCGTAGGCATCGTGTCGACGTTGGGCTGATAGGGCTGCAGCACATGGCGCGTGCGCAATTCTGCGAACACAGTTTCAGCACATCCTGTCTCATCTCTTCTCTCATTATTTCCGTCCATGGGCGCAAATGCTTCTTGGGGTAGCTAAGTCTGTTGAAGCTGAGCCCTGAGGGCTCCTCAAGGTGATTACGTACAGTTTTCGACGGTTGTCATGACCGAGAGTCGCGATGACGTACAATTGACCTTCCCACCGTGCACACGCACCACAGCGCCAGTGAAAAATCCAGAGAGAAAACGGTGGGAAGGGGTCACCAATTGCCAAGGAAGGAGAAGCAATCCCGACCCCCTCACTAGCGTTTACTAACAATCCTTCGGCCCTCACTAAGCAGTTTTGTCTTGTTCGGTTCATTCCCCGGGTGCGTTTACTACAGGGCGTCGCTCATGGGGGTGATTTTTATGAGGATGATGGTGTGCTTTCTAGGTGGCTTGCGCCACTTCTACCAAAGCGGTCACCCAGGGCACCCTTGTCGCCATGGTTGGTTCTTGCCCGAGCGCTTGCCTGGCGCATTCGGAGTGTGCGTCTGTCAGCGGTCGTTGCCTTTGTTCTCCTTCTGTCCGAGTTCCCGCACCTTCCATCACAATCACATGGATACTGTTGCTGCTCATGTTTTTTGCGTGTTATTGTTATCGTTCATCTTGTTACGAACCATCCTGTGGTGGTGGGCCCTCGTTTTGAAAGACAGCGCCCTGCGTCTCCTCTCCTCCTCCGTCCTCCTCCCCTTCCTCCTTCCTCCCTCCCTGCATCTGCCCTCCGCGCTCCGTACGTCATCATCGTCATCGTCATCACCACCAGCATCGCCACCAGAATATCTAGCATCATCACCATCATCGTCATCATCATCATCATCATCATCATCATCATCATCATCATCATCATCATCATCATCATCATCATCATCATCATCATCATCATCTTCATCATCATCGTCGCCGTCAGCACCGCACTAATTTCGGCACACCCTTCACACGCTTCGTGGCCCCATAGGAAGCTCAACCGAAGGCCCCATAGGGGGGGTTCGCAGGGCACCGCCGCTCCTTTTCGACACACCCTTCACACGCTTCGTGGCCCCATATGGAGTCCCACCGAGGGCCACAGTGGAGGGTTGGCATAACACCGCCGCCCCATTGCGGCACAACCCCTCACACGGTTCGTGGCCCCACAGGGAGTTCCACCGAAGTCCCCATTGGCAGGGTCTGCATGGCACCGCCGCTCCATTTCGGCACACCCCTCGCACGCGCCGTGGCCACATAGGGAGTTCCACCGAAGGCCACGGTGGGAGGGTTCGCATGGCACCGCCGCCCCATTTCTGCACACCCCTCACACGGTCGTGGTCTCATAGGGAGTTCGTTCCACCGAAGGCCCCAGTGGGAGGGGTCGCAAGGCACCGCCGCCTCATTTTTGCACACACCTTTCACACGGTTCGTGGTCCCATAGGGAGTTCCATCGAAGGCCCCAGTGGCAGGGTCCGCATGGCACCGCCGCCCCATTTCTGCACCCGCTTCACACGCTTCGTGGCCGCTTAGGGAGCTCCATCGAAGGCCCCAGCGGGAGAGCTCGCATGGCACCGCCGCCCCAATTTCGCCAAACCCCTCACGCGCTTCGTGACCCCATAGGGAGCTCAACCGAAGGCCCCAGTGGAAGAGCTCTCATGGCACAGCCGCCCCATTTCGGCACACCCCTCACACGTTCCGTGGCCACATAGGGAACTCCACCGAAGGCCCCAACGGGATGGTTCGCATGGCACCGCCGCCCCGTTACGATACACCCCTCACACGTTTCGTGGCCCCATAGGATCTCCACCGAAGGCCCCGGTGGCAGGGTCCGCATGGCACCGCCGCCCCATTTCGGCACACCCCTCACACGGTTCGTGGCCCCATAGGGAGCTCCATTCAAGGCCTCAATGGCAGGGTCCGCATGGTACAGCCGCCCCATTTTGGCACACCCTTCACACGGTTCGTGACCCCATAGGGAGTTCCACTTGAGGCCCCAGTGGGAGGGTACGCATGGCGGCCCCGCCTCATCTCGCCACACTCTTCACACGCTTCGTGGCCCCATGAGGGGATTCTGCGAATGCGATGCTCACAACGATGGCACCCACAACTGCATATGCTTGGGTCCTTCGTCAGGATAGGTTTTGTTGTTCCTGCACACTCTGCTCCTCCCCCTCCATTCATGTGTTCCAGGTTGGTTCGGAGCCCCCTCTGTTCTTGTATGGATGCCGACGCCATTCTGAGCACCGTTGACTGAAGGCGCATGGGCGTCGGTTCTGTGTGACCCGAAGAATCACCAATTTTGCGTTGTCAAAGTTGCCACGTCCTTTCAGCACAGCCTTTCCGACTTCTTCTTCTTCTTCTTCTTCTTCTTCTTCTTCTCCCCTCTTACATTATCGGACGAATAATGGTATACAGTGAACGCTTACGCCATCGAGGACGCTTGTCCCAGGGCGGTTGGCAGCTGATACCCACTCGCGACATCGTAGATGCATGAGATTCTCAGCCGCTTTGGGACAGGCGTCCCCGATGGCGGACAAGCTTATCATATATTGTCTGCCGTCCGGTAACTACACCTTCTCCCGCGGAGAAGAGGCAAGCTGCGCATTCTCCGTGGCCAGCTCGCTGCCATTGATGCCCGACATGGACGGCGACAGAGGGCCGCTCCCGCGAGGGGTATGCAGGGGTCAGATGGTGGAGGGGTGGATCGATCCCGAATATAGTTTGCAGATTTGAGACTGGCTTTGGATCGATCGAAGAAGAAGAAGAGCATGCGCATTGAAATTAGCCTGGCGAAGGACCCAACCCTATGTAGTTGTGAGTAACGCAGTTGTGAATATCATCTTCGGTGGAGCCCTCTGTGGGGCCACGAACTGTGTGAGGGGTGTGCCGAAGTGAGTGGGGGGGCGCATGTGGACGGTGGCACTAGGGCCGTCGATGGAGCTCCCTATGGGGCCATGAAGCGTATGAGGGGTGTGCCGAAATGGGTGGTTGGGACATGCGGACCTTACCATTGGGGCCTTCGGTGGGGCTCCCTGTGGGGCCACGAGCCGTGTGAGGGGTGTGCCGAATGGAGCGGCGGCGCCATGCGGACCCTGCAACTGGGGCCTTCGGTGGAGCTCCCTATAGGCCACAAACCGTGTAAGGGGTGTGCCGACATAGGCGGCTGCGCCATGCGGACCTTGCCAACGGAGCTTTCGGTGGAGCTCCCTCTGGGGCCACGAACCATATGAGGGGTGTGCCGACATGGGGCGGCGGTGCCATGTGGACCCTGCCAATGGGGACTTCGGTGGAGCTCCCTGTGGGGTCACGAACCGTGTGAGGGGTTGTGCCGCAATGGGGCCGCGGTGCCATGCGGACACTGCCACTGGGGCCTTGGGTGGAGCTCCCTATGGGGCCAACGACCTTGTGAGGGGTGTGCCGAAATGTGGCGGTGGTGTCATGCGGACCTCGCCACTGGCTCCATCGGTGGAGCTTCCTATGGGGCCGAACCGTGTGCGGGGTAAGCTGAAATTGTGCGGCGGTGCCATGCGGGCCTTGCCACTGGGGCATTCGGTGGAGCTCCCTATAAGGCCACAAACCGTGTAAGGGGTGTGCCGAAATGGGGCGGCGGTGCCATGCGGACCCTGCCACTTGGGCCTTTGGTGGAGCTCCCTCTGGGGCCACGAACCATATGAGGGGT